AAACGCCCAGGCTAGATGGTAAACCGGCCGGTAGGATTATACCTTTGAACCAAAACGCGTTTAACCCATACACAAGTGAATATTTAAGTATGCTTGTGATAGGTACAAAATGAACTCTTCGAAAAGTTTGATAAGCTGTATGTCTCCAAGAGCAAGAACGGATCGTTCCGAACACAAAGGCGTTTTAGCAGCCTCTAAATGAACGCGTTTGGGGTATGTATCCTTGAAGAAAGACTAGTGATAAGATTTGTTTCAATCAGACTATAACAGCATAGAGATCGAAACATCCAACTCATCATTAGCAGACGGAGTAGGACATTGGTTGCGATAACAGGATGAATAGTAAAGTCACCTGTATTGTCCAACGAGAGTGTACGTCTCAAGGAGGGAAATCGGACTTCCCCGTCGGCTATGTTCTCTAGGACACAATCACTCAGAAGGATTGGCTGTCTGTAGACACGATAACGCTCCAGGTAGGGAACGGAGTCTGGGAATGGATCAGTCGGAACAGAATTTGGACGGCGACTCAAAGCCAACGTGAGGGAGGGAGATGGGGCCATTTCGCATGCCAGGGATGGTTGACGATGCTCATAGTAGTTTGACAAGCGCCGAGTGAGAAAACACCATCGCCGATTGGATGGCGCTGGATTGGCGGATGCAACGCTACACTTTGCCGCAAATGCATGTTCTAGATTGGGCTTGTTCCCGGATCCCAGTTGCCAATCTGTGCTATCCGAACTAAAGCGAGACAAACGACTGGTCCGCGGACAGGGCAAAGTCAAGAGCATGACCTCTGCAAACACGAACGCCTTCACCTGAACCGGAAGAAATTGTATAAACCCCGGAGAGAAAGAAATTAAAAACAAAACATTGATCGGTCAAAGTAATAACTGGTCCTCGAAAAGTGAAATTAGCAAAAAAAGGTTGAAAAATGTCACGATGTTACTGAACAGTGGTGATCATCCTCTCAGATCACAGGTTGCATGTTAGAACCCTAAGACAATTACCCACTTTTTAATCTCTCTGGCAGAGTAGCCTTGTCCTTCCCCCTGGAAAATAGACTACTAATCTGTCCTCGAACGGTGGTTAAACATGGAGTCCGACCAAGCTATAAGCTTGCACATTTTTAGAACCGCAAGATTTTGGAGTCTGCTGTTGCTAAGTTCACAATAATTTTGGCCCAAGGAGCCCGATTAACCGGTAGCCGAGAAACAACAAAAGCAAACCGAAAAAAATATAATTCTGAACTATCGCCGATACGTAAATAAAAATATTCCCGACACGATACAAAAAACTGGGAACAACCAATTTTCAAATCCTGGTGTTTGGCAGATTATAGAAACCAACAGTTTCATGTTTAGATCTGTAATGCTCAGTAACCTCTGTGGGAGACGAAAATAGTGGATACAAAGGAGAATCTGTCATGACAGACAGCTTACAATCGAAGTGGTGAATTCTATGTGATTTTGTAAACCTAGTGGATGCTTCAAATGCGAATAGATTAGTGCTAACCATGTGACCTCGTAGCTTAGTTAATGGAGCATGCGCTGTAAAAAAAAAACAACTTTTAAGCGTGGATTCGAATCCTACCACGGTTACTGGTCTTTTTTCACAATTTAAAAACTATTTTGCAGCAGAAGATTCAGCAGAAATTAATCCAAACAATCGGGTGTTCAACCAACATTTGGGCTATTTTTGTGCCACATTACAACCTTCACAAACCCCGAGTGCTGCGAACTCATGCGTATATGGCACTACCGTTTTGAATACTGGCGGTAGAGAATGCTAGATAAATGCTCATCTGTCTCTAACAGGATGATACAAAACAAATAATCTAGAATCAGTCACTGTATTCAAAAACCAGAGAGGAATTTTGCCATGCCCGTAATGAATTCCTTCAATATACAAGAAATAGTTTCATAATATCATTAAGAAAATTATTTACTTTAAAAGACATCGAAATGGAATATCCAAATCAACTGGTAGCCAGAGTTACTATGAAAACCCTTTAGGGTAAATGATGCATTCTCCGCCAGGATACAAAATGTATNNTGGATTTTCCGGCCGCCTCGTACTATTGGCAAATAATGCAAGTCTATCCGGATGCGAAAGTAAGTCAACTAAAAGGCACTTACCCGTGCATAAATAGTATTTCATCGTAAAGCTAGCATTGCACAAGCCCCTGTGTACACAGAAATGTTACTTTGACCGGAACG